CGATACTTGGGAAGTGTAGGCAAAACGTTTGGGATGTCAGAAGCTGCAGTAAAGAAGAAATGACAGTCTTTACAAGTAAATATTAAACTTGTTATCATACATAGACATTCAACATATATGCTGAGGATGAGAGTTTGAAAATTGAGTATAGTTAGCTCAAGTCTGGAATGTTCAGCTTGCTCCGAATATGAATGCTGAGGAAAGAAAACGACTCAAAATATAAATATTAAATACAAAAACTGAGTGAAATTAATTGAATAATTTATTTACAGTATATTTACAAAATATACACAAACAAAAATCACACAAAAACCAGTGAAAATGCCGTCTGATTAAAGCTTACATCCATATCAATAATAAAACTGACGTTTCACGGAACATCTACGAACAACGAAAATTCAAGCGCTCACTGCTTTTAAGCGCTTGTTCAAGTTCGTTTGGATTTTTTCGCGTTCGTTCGTGTTCCTGTTCGTTCTTCTTTGTATTTTCTTGTTCGACATGTTCGTTCGTGTTCGTTCGTTAGGTGTGGCGCACCTTTAATTACACGGCTCTAAACACCGGATTAACAAAGTGCTGAAACGAAAAAATCACGGTACCAACATTCAAAAAATCAGAAATTCTTCTGAGCAGGCATACCAACAGCAGAGCATTCATATATGTCAAAACATTTGTCGCAACTGTCGAAACTTAACCTCAATTTCTTATTTTGGTGTTTAGTAATAATTTTTCATTCAGTCAGAAATTTGTTGCAATATTGGATTTTTGTTATGTATGGTAGATTTCAATTGAAGAACACTGGTAAACGTAAACTATTTTGTGTGCATAAATTTGCTTGATCACAAAAATGTATAATTATGTAAGCCAAGTACTGCTACATTTACAATCTTTCGTATTTATTATATCAAGACTACGTGTATAATTAAATTTTTTTACCATTTCTTATATCTGTTCCATACTAGTGTGCAATATAATTGTTGAAAACTTCAAATATTGTTGACTACAAATGATTGAATTTTAGAACAAAATCTTTATTATCAGAATAAGTGCATTATTCAAATCCAGGACTGTTCCAGTTTTTAACAGTAGTTTAAACTGTAGGATGCAACATTGAATAACTGAAAACTTTTAGATCACATAATTTTGCTACTGAAACAAAGCTATTTTTAAAAAAAAAAAAGATAAAGCATAATTGTGGTAATATTTTTTATTGAATGTGAATTAAATATATAGTTATTTACAACAAGTAGTTTACGAGTTAAAATCTATTTACACAATGTTAATATTAATGAGTAAAGTATAAAGTATAAAGCATGTCGTGAAAGAAAATTAGAAAACAAATTGTACCACATACCAGTAGAACACACAACCACATACGAGTCAAACACAATTCTTCATGATTCAAAACTTATTATTAGTAATGTTATAATAAATAAATCAAATATTCACAATTTAAAACCTATCACTATAAAATGTAATAATAAATTAAAAACCTATTACCATACTGTAATAATAAATAAAAAATATATCGACAATTCAATACGTATCACCGTAATGTAACAATTAATATCATATTTACAATTTAAAACCTATTACTGCAAAGTAACAATAAATAAATCATATTGACAATTCAAAACCTATTACCATAATATGAAAAGAAATATCATATTTACGATTTAAAACCTATTACCGTAAAGTAACAATAAATAAATCATATTGACAATTCAAAACCTATTACCATAATATGAAAAGAAATATGTATGATTATATTAAAAACTTATCTCCGCAATATAGCTGTTAATAAATGTTATTCACATTAGAAATTTGAAAGATAGAATTGAAATGATAATATAAGCAAATGAAAACCAAATACCATAAATGTGAGAGAAGAACTTTGTTGCATCATTAGATACACAAAATGCTCATTTCAACAATAGTGAGTTATTACACAAACACACCACTCAAGTTGATTAAAAAGTAAAGCAACATAAATTATATAACATTACAGGTCAAATCCAACTCCAAATAAATCATAATATAGTTATAATTAGTCACAGAGTTATACATTTAATATTAGCAAAATAACATGTTTTATATGTTTATGTTTAAATTTACTGCTTTTGAATATAGTAATGCCAATATATGAATGTTCATTTTCTCATTGTAAAAAAAATAATGATTATAATTTGAATTTGAAGAATTTGTGAATATGAATATATGAACATTTTCATTTATATTTAGATGCAATATCAACTTGAAAAAATAACAGTTAAAACATACGACGATATTGTAAGTTGATTATTAATTATACTTGGAACAATAGTTTCCAATATCCAACACCCATTTGCAATCCATTAGGATTAATTCTGTTTATGATTAATGTATATATATATTATTTTTTCTGTTACTTATCATATCACAGATATTGTTGAAATAAGACTGAACTGATGATATTTTTCAATATCCACCTATATGCTCCAATTCTATTTATGTCATATGCCAATAGTTGTAATCATAAATATTGTGTATTTTATGGTTCACAATACAACTACTCGATCGATTATTTAGTAATCAATTTTTTGTAATATGTCCTAGTACTATTATTAGAGGTTCTTCACAAATTTTAGTGTAGCTATTTTGATCTATTATTGTTAATGCAAGTATGTATTATGATGTGCTGTGTATTATTAGCTCTTTTATTTTTGCCATTTTGATCTAATATTGTGAATGTATGTATGTATTATGATGTGCGGTGTATTAATAGAAGCTCTTTTATTTTTGCCATTCTGATCTAATATTGTGAATGTATGTATGTATTATGATGTGCTGTGTATTATTCGAAGCTCTTATTTTTTTGAACTGTTTTTATTCTCTTAAATATAATAACAATTAGGAAAAGAAACTATGGTGCAAGGCATCGTACCTTAAGGCAAATTGCTGGAACTTTTTGCACCGGATTAAATATTCGAGGGAAAAAAAATCAGTAATCAATAAATATGATTTTTGATTATAATAATTGTTTTAAACATTTTCAAATAGGTAATTATAATCCTATGTATTTTATTTACATCTTTTTTTTTTTTTGTAAGATATGCCGAAATGTTCAGAAACCTTTGAAACATAAAGATAGGACTGATTAGTTCAATGACAATTAAGTCAAATGATAAAAGTGGTTGATTTATAAAAATCTATATATCATTTTTCAACGTAATACCAGTTCCCTAATGTATTTTATATGATTCGGTCGATTATTTTTGAGGCTTGTTATGAATACATATGCTAATTAATAATTACTTGTCTAAATGATGGTGTGATCTAAAGGATGGTGTGATCAACTTCGATATGTTGATGTAAGCCATTGTATCTGGAAAATAACCTTTGACAATTGTCAAGGGGGCACAAGATCCTAGATTTCCTTTGAGTACCTATTAAAACATAATATTATTACTGTTTGCTGCATCGTTGTTTAATAACATGTTTGGTACACATACCTGAAATATAGTTTATCTGCTGTTGAACACTGGTGCAAGAAGTGGATTGTGTGGCAATGGAGTTGATGATGGTGGTAGAAGTTGATGGTGTAGGTGAAATTGAGGCAGCATAGGAATGAAGGGCGACTGATGTTCTAGGGTTGATGCGGAAATTATTGAAGTAGGTGTTGTGGGTGATATGATCGGAATGAACTGTTTGAATATGTGAGGAAGAATTTGATGAGTGAGTGTCAGTGGCTAGAACAGAATTGGGAGCTGATGGTTGAAGAGGAATGGTAGGATGAAAGTGTACAATATGTCTTTTCAAAGCATATGTCGAATGCAAAGCCTTACTGCAATAAATGCACTGAAATATTTGATCGAAATGCATGGGTTCTTTCCCATGCTTGGCCCTAATATGCCGATATAAAGAACTGTTTGTTTTACATACTGTAGAACAGTACAAACAGGTTTTAGTAGTCGAAATATCCATAAGAAATAAAAATAAAAATGTAGATTATGTAAACATAATAGAGTAATAAAACGTAAGTGCTAAACCTTAAAATAGTAAATAAGCTATACCTTAAAATAGTAAATAAGCGAAGCTATATACCCTAAACAATGAATGAAATAAAAAGAATAACCTAACCTAAGTGGAATCAGTAAAAATGAATAAAAAAAGGAAGCTTATAACTAAAGTGAATACCCTAAAATGATATAAAGTAAAGTGAATAACTAAGTGATAGCCTAAAGTGAATAATCTAAGTGCTAGCCTAAAGTGATTAAAGTAAAGTAAGTAAAGTAAATGTAAGTGATTAAAGTAAATTTAAGAATCTAATAATAGTATAGTTAAGAATGTAAGAATCGTATAGTTAAGAATGTAAGGGATAAAGTAAACTTAATCTAATAATCTAAGTGATAAAACCAAAGTTAAGAATCTAAGTGAATAAAGTAAATTAAACGGCTAAAATTAAAGGCTAAAAACTGAATGAAACTAAAAGGTAATGGGATGAAAAAACTCGCGTCTCTTGCTGGAAAGAAACTAACCTTATTCCCTATAGAAGCTCTTGAATCCCGCAATAAAACAACAAATATAAAATGTAAAGAAATAAAATAACGCACAATCAGAAAAAGCACAAAATGATTAGTACACGTAGCAAAAAAACGAAATGAAAGAAAACGCGAATAAAAAATATAAATACGATACGAACGAGTTACACAATAAGCACGCCGAAAAAAAAATTATAGTAATGAAGTAATCGTAACAGCGATTCCAACATAAAAAAGTTGAAAGCACAGTGCAAAAGATTTGACAAATCTGTAATGTGTTACAGCTAACTTCAGCCAGCTTTCTCAGCACTTTGTTATCCGGTGTTTAGAAACTCTTCCTTTAATTAAGTAACATCGGCTCACTAGCGCCGAATTCTCACCTACATGTCGATAATACGAATCACGGTTGTGATCGAGGATTTTGCTTCATGTGTTTGTGTCCCTGTTTGTGTCTGACTAACAAATTTTAATGTACTGAACGAACTTTATATTTTTTGTATATTTAATTATTAATTAAATGTTTAAGTATATTCAGTATGTATAAATTTAAATATAAATATATAATAATATGTATTATAAAGCGGTATTTGTGATTGATTGCTGAACATAAAGGTAGTGTATAATACTTTGAGGTTATTTCACGTGACTAACTTTTAATTAAATTCATTTCATTCCGAAAAAACATTTAATTCTAAATAAAGATACGCAAAGAAAACGTAAAGTAAATTTTACCTTTTTTCATTTCAGCTCTGCAATAATTATATGACAAGTCAATAGCTTTAGTTGATTCAGAATCACTGTCTGTCAAATATAAAGTCTTTTGAAGAAGAAATTCTCTTGGCGACATTGTCCAAAATAGACTCCTGTTAACTTAATGTAAGATTACATTCTTAGACAAATCCATTATACGAATATATTATATTCTCAGAATCATTTGTGTTGACAGTTGAGAACGATTATTAATTTAAACATACACTCTTGTAAAATGTTATGAAAGCATAAATGCAATGCACTTTCTAAAATCATACTCCATGCTCCAACTGTCAATAACTAATGTTTTCATTTGTATTTCTAGTCAAATTAATTATCATATTTAACAATAGTTCATTTAAACTAACCAACTATTTTTGTTCATGCTTATAGAACATACTCAGTGCACAAATATCTGAAAATGTCAGAAGCTGCTGATGATCCGATAATTAAAATTGAACCACAAGAATATCCAATCGAAGACATTAAACAGGAAATTGAGGAAGACATTAAACAGGAGATTGAGGAAGACCCTGAATCGTGCTCAGAGGATGACAAAACATGTCTAAAGAGATTTATGAACTCTATTGTAAAAATAGAAGAAGATGTCAAACAGGAAATAATTCAAACTGCTCCTTATAAATGTGACAAGTGTCATAGAACATTTAGAAAGTTGCATTATTTAGAACAGCATATGGTAAATTATTGTCATAAGTGTACATATTGTTCAAAGACTTTTCCAGATGCAAGTGCATTAGAAATACATATAAAATCTCATACAGGTGAAAAACATTTCACATGTACAAAGTGCAATAAAGCATTTATTGAAAAATATCATTTAGATCAACACATTTGCGCTTCTGCGAAAGAACAGATTTTACATTTGAATGAATCTAGTAATCGAAAACGAAATATTTGCGCTCATACTGCAAAGGGACAAGGTGGACGTCCCCATATTTGCCAAATTTGTGATAAGACATTCACAGTATTGAGTGCCTTGAATAGACATATGATCATCCACACTGGTGAACGTTCGCATATTTGCCAAATTTGTGATAAAACATTCACACAATTGGGTACCTTGAATAGACATATGTCCGTCCACACTAGTGAACGCCCTTATATTTGCAAAATATGTGAAAAGACATTCACACAATTGGTTGTCTTGAATAGACATATGCTTATTCACACTGGTGAACGTACCTATATTTGCCAAATTTGTGATATGACATTCACACAATTTTCTCAATTGAATAGACATATGTTGATTCACACTGAAAAACGCCCCAATATTTGTCAAATTTGTGATAAGACATTCACACAATTGGGTACCTTGAATAGACATATGCTAATTCACACTGGTGAACGTCCCCATATTTGCAAAATATGTAAAAAGGCATTCAAACATTTGAATGTTTTGAATAAACATATACTTATTCACACTGGTGAACGTCCCCATATTTGCAAAATATGTAAAAAGGCATTCACACAATTGGGTAACTTGAATCAACATATGCGAATACACACTGGTGAACGCCCCTATATTTGCAAAATATGTGATAAGGCATTCACAGAAATGGGTACCTTGAATAAACATATGCTCATTCACACTGGTGAAAGGTCACATATTTGCCAAATATGTAATAAGACATTCGCACGATTGAGTACCTTGAAATTGCATATGCTAATTCACACTGGTGAACGTCCTCATATTTGCAAAATATGTAAAAAGGCATTCACACAATTGGGTAACTTGAATCAACATATGCTCATCCACACTGGTGAGAATCCTTATATTTGCCAAGTTTGTGATAAGAGATTCAGTTACTTGTGTAACTTGAATAGACATATGGTCATTCATACCGAAGAATGCCCCTACAAATGCAAAATTTGTGATAAAGTATTCAAACGTTCAAAAGCCCTGAAAAGGCACATGGTTGCTCATACCAATAAGTAATTAGTAATTACAAAATTGGTAACAAAATTACATATGACTGCTTATAGAAATTAATGTTAATTAGATATATGAATTAATTTATACATTTAAAAAAATAAATAAACATTGTTATCAATGGCTTTAGGGTAAATATTTTATTAATGATGTACATCCATTCCAGGTTTAATAAGATTTGCAATTGAGCCATAACTGTTAATAGAATCTTCATAAAAAGCCTAGTTTTTAACTTACCGTAGGTTAAGCTATTGTGATCGTCCAAAAAACGAAACTGAAAAATTTTGCATATCATTACGATTCAGAGGTTTCTAAACATTTTGGCATACCTTAGAAAAAATTGATATGTGCATGTATGTGTGTATTTTTTAGAGAAAGGTGCATCCAATTTGAATGATTCAAAAAACATTTAATTCGTAATGATGAGTAAAAGTGGTGAATAGTTTTTGGTCCAGCGGTCCAAATGTTGACAATTCATATAGGCAAAACGATTATTTTTGGGGAAAACCAAAACCAAAAGCGAATTGTTTCCTTAGAGAAGACAATTTTGGTAAGAAACACTTGTCATATAATTTATCTATGTAGGATTTGAATTTTATGTTATGTATCTCTGAATAATGTAATTTGGATTAGTTTTTTTATTTTTTTTTTATTTTTATTTATTTATTTATTTGATATAATTCATACATACTGTATCTCAGTCAGACAATTATTCTGGTATGAGAGATCACAGCAATTATAACAAAAATAAAATCTAAATTTTATGTAACAGACTTACTTCAAGACATATATTTTTACTTATTACTATTATACACACATATATACACAGAACGCTTGCGTACTTACATAATACTTAATTGTAATTAATATTTTTACAGAACAGAAGTAATATAGTATTTAAAATAAGGAATTTCATCTCATTTATTTCATTTATCTCTTATGTAATTTTGCAATTTAATTTTGAAATTGTTTAGGTCCGTCATTGTCTTTAGTTCGTCCGGTAGTTTATTGTAAAGACTGCTTGCACTTTTCAGAGGACTTGCAAGTCCTTTACTAGTTTTTGCATGTTTCATGTGAAAGTTTCGGTTTTGTCTCGTTTGATGGTCGTGTATATCCTGGTTTGTCTCTATTGTGGTGCAAGTTTTGATTTTGTTATTTTTTATTTTGAGTTTTAGTATACATTTTTCTATTTCTATTGTTTTGTGTAGTGGTATGTTCTTAGTCTTTTGTAGAAGTTCTTTTGTCGGGGTGAGGTAGGGATAATTGTAAGTTGATTTTATTGCTTTATTCATCATTCTTTGTAGTGTCTTTATATTTTTATTTGTTGTTTGACTCCAAATCGTGATGCCGTACGTCATAATCGGAATTATATGAGATTTTAATATTAGTTTCCTGTTCTTAATTCCAAGGTGTCATATTCTTCTTATGGCCCCAGAAAGTGCTGCAATTTTTTGTTTGATTTTCTCAATTTGGTCACTCCATTCTAGTTTCTGGTTCATAATCATACCCAAATATTTAGTTTTTTCTATTTATTTTCTAGTTATTAAACAAATTAAATAAAATGTGTTAATCTTATTGCAGAAGATTGTCAAGCAAAGCCATTTTTTACAATGCACTTTACAGTGCAAACAGTTGCAGTAATATCACTTAATAAAGAAATTGTAATTCAAAATGAAATAACCTTATTGCATTCTGGATCGCTGGATGTTTGATCTCTCACTAAAGGTAATTTAAAGTTATTTTATACAGGTTATACTTGAAATTTCAGTAAAATTAATAGGTTCAATTAAAATTGTAGTGGATCTATCTGCAGATGCAGGTGTTCCAGTTGTGCTAGATACTCCAGATTCGGTTACATCAGATGTTCCTGCCGAGCATATCTCTATAAGACGATCAGGTATACAAATATAAATATATATATATATATATATATTTATATATATATATATACTCAGATTTTTAACACACACTTTATTTAATAATTACAGACATTTCGAGACCAAGGTATGCCTTGGTCTTATATTTACTTAGTAGTACTAGTAAATAGTTCTTATCTACTATAGTATATATATACACACATATGTATGAGTATATATATACATATTCTTTAATATTTTATTTAATTTTTGATATACAAAAAACACCAACTATTCCGTGCAATGCTTAACTCAGTACTAGAAAACATGTGACGGTTACAGAAATATTATAAACAAATCTTAAGTATCGAGATGGAGAACAGGAAGGGTATTATTATAATATAAACTAGCTGTAAGTGGAATTTTGTCTTAAGGCAATTAAGGCATCGTGCCTTAAGGCAAATTGCTGGAACTTCCCGTACCAAAAATTATTATTTTTTTTAAAAACATTTTTGAAAAAAATTTACCTTGAAAAAACAAGATTTTTGAGAAACTATAAATTGGACAAAAAATTACTTTTTTTTGAAAAAAAATTTTTTTTAAAAAAAATAATTTTTTTTAATTTTTTTTTTTTGAAAAAAAAAATTTTTCTTTATTTTGACATATTGTGGAAGATCTGAACTTTTTTTTAAAGCAATCGTACTGCTTTAACTGCATAGGGACAACATATAAAGCGCGTAAGCGCCGCGTCGCTGTCTAACGCATCAGCATTGGTACGGAACCCATAGGAATGTAAACAAAATTTATACTTATTGTTAAAATCTCTATAAAATATCTGATAATTTGATGTGCATATGTCTAATGATCATTTTTGACCGCCAAATGGCTCATTTTTTTACTTTTTCCTCCATATTTCCGAAACCGCTAGACCTACCTTCATGAAAATTTTATCGATTCTTCATCTTATCAATACAAGTAAAATGTTTTTTGAATTATTCAAATCGGACGCTCCGTTCTCTTAAAAGCGGAGTTACCGTTTCCGGCACCTTTCGCCCCGTATCCTCGGAACGGCTAGACCTGCCTTCGCCAAAATCAGCACGTCTCCTTATCAATACGAATCGAATGTTTCTTGAATTATTTAAATCGGTTGATCCGTATTCCCGAAATCGTCGACGAAAATTTGTATCCGCACATACATACACACACGTACATACATACACACACACATACACACACACACACACACATACATCCATTTTTTCTAAGGTATGCCAAAATGTTCAGAAACCTCTGAAACGTAAAGATATATAAAAAATTTCATTTTCGATTTTTTTGCGATTACTATAACTTGCCCTACGGGAAGTTAACAAAACGAGTGCGATTACGTACAAAAATCAACAAATATGGAAACAAATTAATTGCAAGTAATTTTACTTTTTCTTCATTGGAACAATTAAAATTTTTATATTCCAACTTTAAAGATGAATCTCCTTTAACAAAAAAGAAAGATATAGTTTATAAAATAAATTGTTTGGATTGTAATTGTTCTTATATTGGCCAGACTAGCCAGAACTTAGAAAAAAGACTCAGGCAGCATGAATTACAATGCGAAAAAATAGATAACAAAAAATTTAAAAGTACGCTTGTGGATCATGTTAATATCAATAACCATAAGTTTGATTTTGACAATCCCCAAATCTTGTTCCATGAAAAAGACTTATTCAAATGGAGCATGGCAGAATCAATGTTAATAGTTTGGACTAACAATAGCGTAAATCTGAGAACCGACACAAATATTTTACACGACCCTTATATAAACATCATTAATAATTTATATTTTTTTTATTTCTCTTATTCTCTTCAATAAATTAATTTGATTTCATGTTTGTTGATTTTTGTATGCCATTGCACTCCTTTTGTTTACATTATAATACCCTTCCTGAATATTTCTGTAAGTGTCACATGTTTTTTAGTACTGAGTCAAGCATTGCAAGGAATAGTTGGTGTTTTTTGTATAAAAAAATTAAATGTAATTTAAATAAAATATTAAAGAGTGTGTAGTATATAAGTAACTGTTTTTGAAATTACACTGAAGATGAGGCATACCTTGGTCTTGAAATGTCTGCAATTATTAAATAAAGTGTGTGTTGTATTGTTCATATTTAACATTTAATATATATATGTATATATATATATATATATTATTTATTATTTATCATATTTTCATTAATCTAATCATTCGTTTTGTTAGATATTCGAACTCCAAAGAGTAATTTCTTGAGGTTTGTTGGCCTAAGGCATTGCAGGAGACTTTCTCCAGAAGTAAAGAAATGCCATGACATAATCATGATGATGAAGAGAAGTGCCAAAAGACTTATGAAAAATAATGAAATTGCCAGAGCAGAGCTGAAGGAAGCATGCAGTAAAGATAGCATGCAGTATTTAAAAAATGTGAATTCACTCACTGCAACATTAATAAAGTGCAAGATGAGGAATCCGGTAGAAAATATAACCTTGATGAAAAGCCCTTGGAATAGCATTATATAAGCAGAGCCCAACGTACTGTAAATATTGTACATCCTTTTTGGCTCTACCTTCTAAAAGTACTGTTTCTAGGTCATTGGCAACAATTTCTGTCAGTGCTGGCATTAATAAATCTTTCATGGAGACTTTGTGCACTTCTGTTCTTAAGATGAATCCTTCTAATAGAAACTGTGTCCTCATGTTGGTTTAAATTAGCATTGCAGCAGGTATTGAATATGATGCAACTAAGGACAGAATAATAGGTTTTGAGGAAGTCACTGAAAAAAGGCCAAAGTTTGCTGATCATGCTTTGGTGTTTATGATTAAAGGCATTTGTAGTTATTTTATAACTTCAGCGGCATTTTACTTTGCTGAAAGCAGTGTTAGAAGTCCTGAATTCGAGGTCTGCATTGTTATCGCAAAGGTTTAGGAATAAATACTAACATGTTTTTAGAAAGTTTCCATAACCAAATGAAAACTCGAGTTTTGGGAAGAAAATGTACTAGGAGGATGGATAAGGTCATTCAATTGGTGTTACGCCTCGAAATGAATGCTTTTGTTCAGAGGACTCGTAGAATAAATGGAACATTATTATCGACAAGGCAGAGAGATGTTCGAGTAACCCATGTAAGAGGTGCAGCAATATTGCCGCATCGTATTCTAGAATGCATTCCCAACACACAATGGAATGTTTTGCCAACAGAAGATAACGTTGCACCATACGTGGTTACCAAAGAAAATCAAACATGTAATAGTATATGCATGAGATGCGTAGCATGTAAGATTTGTTTGCATATGTACACATGCAGTTGCATAGATTATTTGATAACATCAAATATTTGCAAACACATCCATGCATGTGTAAAGGTTTACCCGAGTGATACTGGTTTTAGGCGTGAACTCTTAGAAAAAGATATGTTACAAAAATCTCAGGATTTCAAAAATCCAGAGAATTTTCAAACAAGTACAAAAGATGATGAAGAGGCTTGCTATGCCATTATAAAACAAGCAGGCCAAGAGATCATGAATTTAATACAGGATAAACAGTTTGGTAATTATAAAATATTTAAGGACCAAATTTGTTCATTTTTGCAGCAAGTAAAGACATCGGCCCAAGAAAATATGAGAGAAAGTGGAAATAAAAAGAGAGTGCCAAAGGGCAGGCAAGAAAAAGACCACTTGATTTGTTATTAAATTATCTAATTTATTTAAATTCTATTAGTAATGTTATTTAATTAATTATTAATTTATATATATTTATATATATTTCTTCAAGAAATTGTTTATTAAAAAACTTTTCTTGTTTTTTATTACTTTTGGATTCTCGTTCGAAACTCTACAATATATATATATACAGTAGGCCCTCGCTTTACACGGCACTCTGGGTACACGGTTCCCATACTACACGGAGCTAAAAATCCGACATCCCTCCGAGTACACGGACTTCTTATTACACGGTATTTGGTCAACAGCCCATAAGTCCGTTGTGCAAAAGGGTATTGTTGTAAATTTTGTTATCGACTATTATCTTTTAGACATGCCTGATTGTATAATAGCCGCCTAAGAACACGTTTGAGCTGATTACTGCGTCGCGCCAATTTTTGAATAAGGTGTCAATTTCGTCACGTCATTTACGTCATTTCGTCCGTATTTCTCCTACTTCAAGTTGTATTTCTTGGTCTCCATACAACGCGATAAAAATGGTGCGATTTGTACCAACTCTGAGTCTCTCATAACACGGTTCCCATACTGCACTATGTAAGGTTCCATAGAACGCACTACGAATTAGCCTGAATTGTATGTTAAATACGAGTTTCTTATAGCACGGTTCCTATACTGCACGGTACGCACTTGCCGCGTAAAGCGAGGGTTTACTGTATATATATATATATATATATATATATATATATATATATATATATATATATATATATATAGATATATATGATATATGACCGTTAACCGTTGAACCGTGCGGACGTGTTTTTTGAAGTGTCGTAATGTCTCTGACACAATTAAATATTTTGGAATCGGATTCCAAAAAAACCTACAACTGCTGTGAAACAAAACCTTCTGCAAGTGTGGGTGTTTGTAAGAACTGTGGCAAAATTTACCATGTGAGTTGTGCCACAAGAAAAGGTTTTAAATTCATTGTTGGAAATTTGATACAGTGCTGTGAGGTGAGCAGTGAAGTGTCGAGTGACAAACATATGGATACTATTAACAACTTAAAACAAACAATTACCGACAAAAATAACATAATAGACGATAAAATGACAATAATAAAGGATAAGGAATACATAATTCAGAATCTTGAAGAAAAAATTAAGATGCTGCAATTATTAAAGCCAAATGAAAAGAATAAAGAAGTTTCATCAGCTGCACCCAATATTGATATAGTAATACTGAGAAAGCAGCATCTAAGAAGCCTAAACATAAATCTACCAATAAAAACAGTGCCAATGCTAATAAGGTCACAAAAGAACAGGTGAGTGTTGCAGTAGCAACTGCTTTGAAGGAATTAGACAAGCGGAGAAGCGAAACATTCCGAGATGCGGTTGCCAACACGGAGCTGCCTAATCAATCGACCCAAGCTGAACAACAATCAATTAAAGCAAATGACGATGGAAACTGGACTTTGGTCCAGAAAAAGAAGTCGCCGAAACGAAAAAACAAAGCCATAGAAGGAACAAATGTGAGCACTACACTCGCGGGAGTTGTGAGGAAGGCCCACTTGCATGTGTTTCGCCTGGCACCGGAAACATCGACGGAAACTCTAAAAAATTATTTAAATGAGAAAAACTTCAAAAATATTGAATGTGAGAAAATGGCTTCTAAACATCCGAAAACATATGCCTCTTTCAAGGTATCCGTTGCAGAGAGTGAATTGGAAAGAATAAAATCTCCGGATGTTTGGCCAAAAGGAGTCTGTGTGGACCGTTTTTTATTCCATCTGGTAGAAAAAACGCAGAAAAATTGTTAAACTGGTTTAATATATAATGTCCTTGAACATTCAATGTTTATCCAATAAAACGGAGACATTAACAAAAGTTGTCCATGACCAGTCCATGACAATAAAATAAACATTTTTTGTTTATGTGAACATTGGCTTGGCAACGAGCAAATCGACCTATATACGTGATTTTCGGCTAGTCAGCTCATTCTGCAGTAGTATACATATGCACGGAGGTGTAGCTATTTACTGTCGGAAAGAGATAGAATGTTGCGTCGAAATTTACAACAAGCTTTCCAACGAATTTAAAAGCAGGAATTGTTTCAATGCGACTGTCAAAAAACATCCTATAGATCAACCTATTTATACAATAAATGAATTCTTTAATCTAAGTTAATTATTAATTGTCATTAGGTTAATCTTGAGCTGTTCATAAATATCACTGATATTACTATAGTTATATTATAATATTGTGATAAAAATAATAATTGTATTGATGTATTGTAAATGACTTAAATTGTAACTATTGAATTTTAATAAAGTTCTATTCTATTCTATTCTATTCTATATATTATTTATTATTTATTGTTTATTATGTTTTCATTAATCTAATCATTCATTTTGTTAGATATTCGAACTCCAAAGAGTAATTTCTTGAGGTTTGTTGGCCTAAGGCCTTGCAGGCGTCTTTCTCCACAAGTAAAGAAATGCCATGGCATAATCATGATGATGAAGAGAAGTGCCAAAAGACTTATGAAAGATAATGAAATTGCCAAAGCAGAGCTGGAGGAAGCTTGCAAAATTTATTTTAATGAGGAACCAGGTAGAAGGTATAACCTTGATGAAAAGGCCCTTGGAATAGCATTATATAAGCAGAGCCCAACGTACTATAAATATTGTACATCCTTTTTGGCTCTACCTTCTAAAAGTACTGTTTTTAGGTTATTTGCAACAATTCCTATCAGTGCTGGCATTAATAAATCTTTAATGGAGACCTTGTGCATTTCTGTTCTTAAGATGAATCCTTCTAATAGAAACTGTGTCCTCATGTTGGTTTAAATTAGCATTGCAGCAGTATTGAATATGATGCAACTAAGGACAGCATAATTGGTTTTGAGGAAGTAACTGAAAAAAGGCCAAAGTTTGCTGATCATGCTTTGGTGTTTATCATTAAAGGCATTTGTATCCATTTTAAAACTTCATTGGCATTTTACTTTGCTGAAAGCAGTGTTAGAAGTCCTGAATCAAGTCTACATCAAGATGTTAATCAACCTGCAGCAAATTGGCATCAATAATGTAGCTACTGTGTGTGATCAACATGCTACAAATGCAGCTGCTATGAACATGTTGCTTAATGAGACAAGAGCACAGTTTCTTAGAGATGATCGAATTTGCAAACTTCAAGGTTTTTTTGTTGGAGATCAAGAAATTGTGCCACTAAATGCTGAAATGTTTACGAACCGTTTTTTATCATACAAGGTTATGGAACAATTAAATTGTATGAAATTAATTCAGAGTTGCCAAATTTCCCTATGTGTTTAATTTGCGAGCACATAATGTGTATCCTGAAAAGATGAGGAAGATGAGAGTGAAAGATGCTGCAGTAGTTTCTCTTATAGTGTATCTTAATGATGAATAGATACACTACTAAGCAGTGTAAGTAATTTTTTTTTTTTATTTCTGCTAATTTTAACAATCAGATTACAATCAATCTATAAGTTAAAAGTTATGGTATGAAAATCAAAATCAGAAGAAAAAAAAAAATAGAATAAAGGAGTTAAAGGAAATAAATAGAATAAATAATAATTAAAATAATAGTATTAATATATAATAACAATAATCAATAATAAATAATAATTAAAGTAACTTGTTTGAAAATTTTCCTGTGCAAAAAAAAGAATTATGTTGCTGACGGTAGATCACTGGCCATTTTCTTTTCAAGCGTTTTAATTTTTCGGCTGTCTGTACTATTTGCATTTCCGAATTGACGTGTGCATCCAATTTGTTTTGAAAGATTAGACTTCTGTTTTTAAATAACTTTTGCTACTGTAGGAATTTTTAAGTCTTTATG